ACCAGTCCTCCTGAACTCTAGTCTACAGGCAGAGCTGGTGTCTGGGAGCACCAGTCCTCCTGAACTCCAGTCCTGAATTCCAGTCCACGGGCAGACCTGATGCCTGGTTCCCACCCCATTGCCATCTGGGCTTCACCAGAGGTGTGGCTCTTCTACAGAGCTGCGCTGATGAAATACTGAAGGCAAACAAAGAGCACTCTGCGCTAACAAATGAGCAGTGATAATTCCACACATCTGTCAAGACCAAGTTACTTAAAGCCATAAGCCAGGACTGAAATCTCCTGCACCTGGCATTGTTTCTGTGCTAGAGCCTAGCAGCTAGTACATCCTGGAGTGGATCAGACTGCTGTGCACTGGGAGTGTGACTGACAGCACTGTAAAGCCTGGAGTGGATCAGACTGCTGTGCACTGGGAGTGTGACTGACAGCACTGTAAAGCCTGGAGTGGATCAGACTGCTGTGCACTGGGACTTATGCTAATGCAATAAAAGCAATGGATACAGTGTAATATTTAGCTAGCTGATGTCGTAGTGCTACAGAATACAGAGAGGACATGATTTTCTGTAAAGAGGAATGAGAGAAGGAGGGAGTGAACGAAAGAAACATTGAGAAGAGAGGCAGACAGACAGAGGGTAAATGACTTTGAAGAAATTTATACCTATAATAGCGAATCTTAATGCGTAGTATTGATTTCTTAATCGCCTGGGATTTATAGAAAGCCGTGAGGCAAACCTGATGGTTTTATGGTTTAAAAATCCTGCAGAGGTTAAGGTCGCAGACCCAGAGACTAATCACAGCAGCAAGACTGCTCTCTCCACACTCCCCGCCAGACACTGGATCAGACTGTTTTACTGTACTGGGACTGTAGCTCCTGTTGTAACAGGACTGTTCTACTGTACTGGGACTGTAGCTCCTATTGTAACAGGACTGTTCTACTGTACTGGGACTGTAGCTCCTGTTGTAACAGGACTGTTCTACTGTACTGGGACTGTAGCTCCTGTTGTAACAGGACTGTTCTACTGTACTGGGACTGTAGCTCCTATTGTAACAGGACTGTTCTACTGTACTGGGACTGTAGCTCCTGTTGTAACAGGACTGTTCTACTGTACTGGGACTGTAGCCTCAATGTTAAGATTGTGTAGCACTCGGACTGGAGGTTCCTAATGGATTTTCCCAGCAGTTCCCACACCAGAGTGTGAGTTAAAAGTTGAGCCCAGCTGGCGCCCCAGGCAGCCGCGGGGGCCGTGAGCCGCGCAGTCAAGGCCGCGACGAATCGCTCAAGGCCGCCCTCTGGACTCGGGTGACAGCGGCGAGACGCACGGAGCTGGCCCACCTGCCCAGACCGCTCGCTGCAGACAAGGGCAGAGTGCAGATCACTTTCACACTCCACTCCCCCCTCCCCCGAGCCCCCCACGTAAACATCACCAGCCTCTGCATCAGGCCCTGCACGGCGCGCACAGGCCTGAGCTCTCCCAGGCGTCGGGAGTGTTGGAGCATGCTCCCTTTGGTGCAAGGTGGTTTGCCGGTCACAGAGCCGGGCGAGGAGGGGGCCTGCTGGAGCAGGGGCCGCAGGGGGAGGGGCAGGACAGCTCTCCCAGGGCCAGCTGGCTCCGGGCGGCCCCGCCGGGCGCCAGAGCCGACGACAGATCCCAGGGAGCGGGGCCTCTTTCAGCGACAGCAGGCCGAGGCCCAGGGCCGGTGTCGGGAAGGTTTTCCCAAAGAGCTCAGGCGCTTCAAAGGAAAGGAAAGGGGGGAGGGGTGACCTTCGAGTACCTGCGTCTCGCACCAGTGCGCAGCTCCCCCTTGCAGCACTAGTGCACGTTCACACTCACACAGTCGCCCGCAGGGACGAGTGTAAGATAGTGGCCTCGCAGGCCGGCACTGGCCAGAACGACTGGAGCACAGCACGCTGGGAAAGGCAGCAGTGGAGCACAGCGGGCAGGAATCAGGAGAGGGATTTGGGGAGTTGCAGGTTCAAATCCCAGGCGAGACACTGGTGTGTCACCCCCGAAAGAAAGAGCTTGGCTGAGGCTGCTTCAGTAAAAGCCCCAGAATTAAGCCCACATTTAACATGCAAGGAACAAAAAGCGATCGAAGAGGCGCGTCTCTCGCACACGGGCCCGGCAAGGGGACCGCGAGCCGGGGGCACAGCGCCGGCCAGCGCGAGCTGTCAAGCGCGAGGTGCCGCTCGTCTTCCCGCGGGCATGACGGGGAACCCCAGCGCGTGCCAGCCTCGCGCAGGAACAGCAGCGCCAGCGCTTGTCGCGAGCGCAGCCAGCTCGCGTGCAGGCGGCCTCTGTTGTTTACCTGCCCCGGCCCACCTGCTCGCTGCGGGGGGAGGGGTGAATGTCAATATTTTGTTCTCCGGGAGGGAGCAGAGCGCCTTTCCCCCAGCACACCTGCAGCCAGGCGAGCGAATTAAACTGCAAACACAAGGCGACACCAGGCGACACCCGGAGGCGGCGGGAGGGGGGGTGCTTTTCCTCATTGTGTGCTCACGGGGGGAGTGGTCCCTCGCGCCGCTCCACACGACCCGCTGTTTAATCACACAAAGCACGCGAATCCAAGATTTTCAACACATCTAAACCTCCCCCGGCCTGAAATACTGAAAATAAAATCCGCAGCCCACGACTTCAGAGGAAATCCACAGCAGGAGCCCGGATCGGTGTCTAATCCGCGGGCCTGGCGACAGCGCCCGCCGCGCGCTGACGGCGGCGAGGCAGCGCTCCTCCTCGTGGCGGCGCGAGGAAACGCCGGCTCGCGGGACACGCTTCGCCCGAGCCCGGAGAGCGCGCGCTCTCTGTGGCGGGTCGCGGGGCAGGTCTGGTCTCCCCCGAGCTTGCTTCAGCCTCTGCTCGTTGGCTGTTTAATGTCACCCGACTGTTAATTGGTTGAATTAAACCGGAGCGGTCAGCTGTGGTGGTGCAGGGTCTGCAGGTCAGCCGATCTCTGAGCTCTGTGCTCCAGGGGTCAGAGGGAGATTAGTGCTCCAGGGGGCAGAAACTGCAGAGTTAAGGGTGACCCCTCAGACCTGCAGGACCAGGGCTGGACACCACACACATGCTCACAATTATACACTCACACACACAGTCATACACACACGTACACATATACACTCACACACACAGTCAAAAACATACACCCACCCACCCACATATGCATATAGACTCACACAAACTCAGTAATACACTAACAAACACTCATACACACACACATACATTCACACACACAGTCATACACAATCATATACTCACACACATGCACACACTCCCACAAACATGGGCCACACTCAGAGTCACAATCACACACACATGCACACACACATTTATACACACCCATATACATATGCACAGAGACCACCATACACTCACACCCATGCATACACAAGCAACACCACACAATCATACAATGGCACACTCACACACACTCTCAAGAGCTGACAGAAAAGCACAAGAACAGTGTCAAACGCTGGTCTGGTCGTTCGTATTGTTAGGGCCTCCGCCAGCTGTTTCTAGAAAGACTCCAGGGTATCGGCATTTAACCACATGGGCCGGGCAGCTTGTTCCACACTCCCACCACCCTCTGTGTAAAGACGTGTCTCCTGTTCCCTGCAGTTTGACAGCCTGTACAGGTCCAGTGTGGGACACCCCTTACTGCTCTCAGCGGATCAGGTTCTCTTCCCTGGACTGGTTCCTGAGCAACAGAACCTTCTCCAGGAGGCGGTGACCCAGACTGACGTCATGTTTCTGCGCGCCTGAAGCCGTTTCAGTTAGACGAGGGATCCCGGCTCTTCCTCTGTCTGTGCGCAGACAAGGGAGAGCGGGGGGCGGTTATTGCGGGTTCCTGTCGGAGGTGCCGCCGGCCCGGAGCCGAACCCTGTTCGCCAAGAGTGGTGGGTGTCGGGAACAGGGAGGAGCGGAGCCCTCTCACCGGGGGGGGGGTCGGTCGCCCGGAACACAATGACGTCAGGGGTGCCGCGAACGCCGCGCGGTGAGGTAAGACGACACAAACATCAGCGGCCGTCAGCGCGCCCGCTAGATGACGGCACCGCCAGAGCCGCCCCCCGGCGTGAAAGACGTCGCCCCGCGAGAGCCCAACGGCCCCGTGACAGCCCGCGGGCGGCAGCCGCTTCTCTTCTTTTCCAAACTTTCCCACTGACTCCCGGGAAGTGTGCGATTTCCTGCCTGAAGAAGTTGCAGCTCGGAAGGGGGAACAACGGATAAAGGCGCGCGTGCGAGAGACTGGAGCAAAGCCCACGATGAGCCAAAGTTTTGTCCTCCCGTCCCCCCCTTCTCTCGAGCGGACGGAGATAATTGTTTTGAAGACCTTGGGGATGATGTCATCGACAGGCATCGTCATCTCACTCCTCGCGCACGGTCGTATATCAGGCTGTCACGCGCGGACTTGGACCGCACCGTCGCAGGCTGGCTCGAGCTGCTGACCCGCGCTGAGCTCAGCTCGCGGGGTGTCATAAAACCTTCACTGTCGCACAGGCGCGGCGGATGGGACGGGCAGGGTCACGGACAGAACACCCTGCCCTCCTGCCCTCCTGCCCTGCTCCCCTCCTGCCCTCCCACCCTGCTCCCCACCTGCCCTCCCACCCTGCTCCCCACCTGCCCTCCTGCCCTGCTCCCCACCTGCCCACCTGCCCTGCTCCCCTCCTGCCCTCCCACCCTGCTCCCCACCTGCCCTCCTGCCCTGCCCCCCCCCTGTTAGAAACTGTTAGAAACAGACGATGTCGGGGGACACTCGCAGCCCCAGGACCCCGCTCCGTCCCAGCCCCTCTTCTCCCGCAGAGCCCCTGTGTTCCCCCGGGGAGCCCTCGGACCCGGGTCCGAGCTGTGTGAAGCTGTCGGTCCGCACGGTCAGGGGACGAGACTGAGATAAATTACGCGTCTCTCCCCCCCCGGGCTGAAGCGCGACATCCACACGGGAAAACGAACCCGTGCCCGTGGCTCAGAGAGCCCACTCGCGGCGGGACGGGGGTCTGTTGAACCCGAGCGGGAGACACGAGTCCCCCGGCGGCGCGCAGGTACCGGCGGAGACGCTGGGGCACCCAGCCACTTACCGCGCACGCAGACGCTCACGAGAGCCCCCAGGACCCCCAGGA